AATCAAATTCAATTTGTTGTCATCGGGAAAACTTGCTGCTTTTCTAGCAAGCAAAGGAGGCAGGGAATTATAAAGCTCTAAAGTCCTGCACTCTCCCCTAATCAGGATCTTGAAATACTCATACATATCCAATTCAGATGAGGTTCCTCATTTGTTACTGAGTAAGGGTCTTAGCCACCTGAGGGTCCTTAAATTCTATTTTTTAAAATATTTTATTTATCTTTAGAGGGGAAGGGAGGAAGAGGAGGAGAGAAATATCAATGTATGGTTGCCTGTCGTGAGTTCCCTGCTGGGAAATGGCCTGCAACCCAGGCATGTGCTCTGACTGGGAATCGAACTTTGATCATGTGGTTTGCAGGCCCAGGCTCAATCCACTGAGCTACACCAGCCAGGGCTTAAATTCTATTTTTTAAGTCTGTCTGAAATCATCAAAGATGATTGAAATGTTCAAGGAATGTTTTCTATTTGAATTCACCTAGTACATTGAAAAAATTTTTTTGAATATCATTACAAATTCCTGAATTTCCATTTACTCAAAGTGTTATAATCGATAACAGTCATTATTCTTTCTGATGATCAAATTATCCCACATTTGTCCATATATATATATATATATATATATATATATATATATATATTCTATATTTCCCCCTCCCCCCAGACCTGGAATTTGCCATTTCTTTAAAAAAACATGATTACTTTGGGTTAGGAATGATATTTGAAAACCAAGGTCTGGGGACTAGGTATACTCATTGCCACTGGATGCCATTGCTTCTAGGTCCATTCAGAGATTAGAAGAACTAGGAAACACGGCTTTTTTTTGGGGGGGGGTAAATAAATAAATTGGTTTTAAATTTTATATGGGATTGGAAAAGACCTAAAAGGCAAAATAATCTTAAACAAGGAAAAATATACAATACATGAAATCAAGACTTACAATAAAACTTTTAGTAGTCAAGATAGAGGGATAATAGTTTAAGGTTAAACAACCGGATTAATGGGACAGAACAGGATGTCCAAAAATGCACACTCACATATGTTTAATTTATAATTGACCAAGGTACCAAGTTAATTCAATAGGGGAAAGTCTTTTTATAAATATTGCAGGAACAACTACATATGTGTATGAAAAAATAAACCATGACCCATGCATGTATTTTTGAACCATGATTCAAATTGATATTTCCAAGTAAAATTTAACTTTACACTTTTTACTTAATTTCTTTGATTTTGATATTTGTGTATTTCTTTTCTCGTATGTTGAAAATCTTAGTCCTTGAAACAGTTAATTTTTCTTTGCAGATCCTTTATCATCCTTAGCATATATTCCTCTGGGAAGTTACAATCAGAATACTATCTTTAAAAGTTACTTGAAATAATTATTTTGTCTACATAGTTATGTTACCAATTAGATATATGATTGGGTTCATTTGTTTATTCTGTTTATCTGTTTATTTTCAATTATCAGGTTTTATCTTTTTATTTTAATTTTTGAATATGTAAAACATTTAAATGCTTCAAAAGTCAAAACTGTAAAAAGGTATACTTGTGGAAGACCCTTTGGCTAACTCTTATCTGTTCCACTCCTTTCTCCATCCCACATAGATAAGCATTAATGTTAGTTTTTGACTTATTATTCCAAAGTTTCTTTTTGAAAAAAAAATCAAATAAATATGTCCATTGAAGAAAGAAATGTTCTGTCCATTTCTTTTATACTTAACAGTGTATATGTAAGATTAGGTCAAATGATGAAACTTAGGACGTTTTCTCTTTTTTTTCTATGGTTGCAGAGTACCACATAGCACTACCTTATATAGATGTACTGGATACAACAAGCCACTTTTAGATGTGTACACATGCACCATACCCAATCACATTAGACAAGCACACTGGGTTCTTCTCTCCACTGTCTGGCAGTATTCATTTGGGGGGACTGTTGCAATAAATTACCACAAACTAGGTGGCTTAAAACAATAGAAATGTATTTTCTCATAGTTCTGGGTTTCAGAAATCTGAAATAGAGTTGTTTTCAGATTTGGGCTTCTTCTGAAAGCTGCTAGGGAGATTCTTTCTTGCTTTTCCCAGCTTCTGGTGGCTGCAAAGTTCACTCAGCTTGTGGTTACATGACTCCAATTTCCACCTATTTTCACATGGTCTTTTCTGTATGTCTTCTCCTCTTTTGTCTCTTATAAGAATATGCACTAGATTTAGGGCCTACTCAGCTAATCCACAATGATTTCACCTCAAAATCCCTAACTTCATTACATCTGCAAAGATGCTTTCTCCAAAACTCACAGTCACAGGTTTTGGGGATTAGGATAGTGACATATCTGTTCAACCACTACATTGGCGATTAATAGTGCTGGAAGGAATAACCTTCCACAAGTGGTTTTCTATTTGTGGAGGTATGTCTTCACAATAGATTCTTACAAATAGAATTTCTGTGTTGAAGGGAAAATAACATGTAATTTTGCTAAATTCTCCTCTGTAAAAGTTGTACTATTTTACCCTCCTATCTACTCTGTTTTTCTATAGCTTTGTTACCAGAATTTGTTGTTAAACCATGTTGTTGTTGGTTTTTCCTAATCCAGATAGTATTTCAGGGTGGTTTCCATTTGCATCACAAATTTTTAACTATTGATTCCATTATATTTATTTATTGATGAAAGTGGGACTTTTATTCAATAACCCTTAAATGTCTGCAAATTACTTGACACCCTGAACCTCCAGTGATAAAGAATTAATTATAGAGCTAGTGATGTCCCCAAGGAGTTCACAGTACAGCAAGAATGACTTTGGAGAGTAAGTATTTTATTTATTTTTATTTCATACATGTGGGTGAAAAAAGCAACAAAATGATAATTTATGTTTCTTAAATTTTTGGAGAATAACTGGAGTTCATCAGTAACTAGAGGCTTGATAGAATAGAAGAGGTGAATCTATCTGCACAAATGCCTATTTCTGGTACCACCAAGTTTTTTCTTTCTTTTTTTTCAATTACAGTTTATAGTTCAATATTTTTTGTATTAGTTTTAGGTGTACAGCATAGTGGTTAGACAATTCTATACTTTGCAAAGTGTTCCCCTGATATTTCCAGTAGCCACCTGGCACCATAGATAGTTATTGACTATATTTCCTATGACTATTTTGTAACTACCAATATGCACTTCTCAATCCCTTCACCTTTTTCACCCAGTCTCCTAAGTCTCTTCCCCTCTGGCAGCCATCAGTCTGTTCTCTGTATCTGTGAGTCTGTTTCTACTTTTTTTGTTGATTTATATTGTCCTTTAGATTTCACATATAAGTGAAATCATATGCGGCACTACCAAGTTTTGACAGTGTCACATGTTCACCATACACTGTCATTTACCTAGTTATTTATGTAGTTTTTCTGCTCCTCAAGTACATTGTATGCTTTGGAGATCAGGAGGCTTCATCTTTTTATCCCCAAGATTTAGACTTATGCCTTATACATAGCAGGTGCTCAACAAATGTTTGACTATGATGACAGGTTGCTTTATGATAGAAAAAAAATTGGATTCCCTAAGGCAAGTGCCTCCTATTTTTTGTTCAGTCAATGTAATGAAAGGTATAATTTTAAAGAAATCTGGCAATGAATATTGTGACTTACTATTTATAACCAAGTACAGGCTAAGTTGCTGTAACAAGCAAGGCCTCTCAAAATGTCTTAAAAGATTTTTTCTCTCTTGTAACAGTCTTGGGGGTTTGTAGCTCTGATGGAGATGTCATCTAGGGACCCAAACTGGTAGGACAGCTCTGTCATCATCCTGAGTATGAGGCTTTTATCTCTGTGTCTGAGATTCATCCATTTTACTGGATGTACTAACAGTCCATTCCTTCTCATTGCTGAATAATAGTCCTTTAGTATGAATATAATCCAGTTCCAGAAATGCTATTTGGACAACTCTAAAACTAGAGGCTCTAACAATTACGAGATTTTTTTGCATGTATAAAAAAACATGTAGCACCATTTTGGCTTTTTATTCCCTTTTATTTAATGAACTTTTATTGAGTGCTTCCAGAGGCCAAATACTGTGCTCAGCGATCAACACAAAGCTGTGTAAATCCCTGATTCGTCTTCCAAGTTATAGTTCATCCAAATGAAGACAGTTGTGTGGTCCCAATCTGATGGAAACCACATGTTTTTAAACAATGAGCTTAAGTATGGATATTTGCTAAAGTGTTATAATTTGGAGCATCAAATATCCAGATGCAGTAAGATCTCTTGTATCCAGATGCAGTAAGATCTGGATACAAGATGCAGTAAGATCTCTTGTAAAACATCTCCAGACCATCTTCCTTCTCAGTTTTACCACAAGTTACACGTGCTTGGCCTTAAAAGGCATTCAGGATTGAGTGTCATGTTTCTCGGGTTCTATTTACGATTCTACTACTGGATTGTTAATAGGATTTTGCACAACACAAAGAACGTGCATTTCCTACAAAGAAGCAAGATCCTGCAGAACCGTCTTGAGTGAGGGACTTTCATATACCAAATCAGGTTGAGTCTCAGAAACCAAGGGCTCTTCATCCACAGCCTAGGCACATCCTTCCCTCTTGCCAAAACCATGTATTTGAGCTGCGATTTTGAGATGGTCAAAGGGATTTCCATGGATCCCTGACTCCTTGGTGTGATTCCAGAAGCTATTGTAGAGCTTAAAATGGTTTGAATTTTCAAAGCCCTAAAACTTTTCTTATTGAGGTGTTTCTATGGTTCATGCTACACTGGAGGGAAATGCGACTGGCACCGACCTGGGCGACGATGCCCAATTGCTCCAATTCCTGGAAAGGCGGTCACAGTGCTTCGCTTCCTGCATAACTACATTTCCCAGGAGAACTTGCTAGGTAGGAAGGCGGACCGTACTTAGAGCCGGCCCACTGATTCCCTACGTACCAAGTCACGGCAATCTGATTGGAGGGATCTATCGCGGTACCTCGCGGGACTTGTAGTACAATGAAGGCGCGGAGACAAGCTTCTTTGTGACGCGTGGCGCGGGCTTGGCGCTCCTTGGGGATCCTTGGCGCTATTTGGTGCTCCTTGGCGCCCCTTCGAGGAGTCCAGACCAACGCGCACGAGCACTGCGCGTGAGGTGAGGCTGGAACCTCCCGTGGGGCGGGGCGGGGCGGGGCCATCGATTCCGCCAGGACACCGCCTTCCTTCCCCTCCCCTCTTAGTGCCGGGCCGCCCCTCCTTCCTGGAGTCACGGCTGAAGCGGCTGCAGTACGAAGCCGGGCTGTTTGTGGCCCACGGGATACTCACCAGTCTGGACCCTGTGTGGTGACTCGCGCGTCGTAGGCGCCTCCTTGTCCTCCCCGGCGGGGCCCGGGCTTCCCGTGGCAGGATGTTCTCCCGAAGGAGCCACGGGGATGTGAAGAAATCCACCCAGAAGGTGCTGGACCCCAAGAAGGACGTGCTGACCCGACTGAAGCACCTGCGGGCACTGCTGGGTGAGGCGCGGGCGGGAGCTCTAGTGGCGGAGGCACTGCCCGGGCGCAGGCCGGGTTGGCGTCGGAGCTGGGATGCGGAGGGCGTGAGGTGAGGGTGGCGGGGCGTCTGACCCGGTCTCTGGGTCTTGGCATTGTTCCCCGGAAAGCCGGCAACCTGGTCCTGCAGCAGTTATCCCGTATTCTCACCGGGTAACCTCGAGGTAGGGCACAACCGTGACTGTCACTTCCCCGGCAAATACTGGACCTCAGATTGCCCTCACACACACATTGAGCTGTCATCTCCCTTCCCAATTTTTAAATTTTTATGAGTCCTAGAGTAAACTGACCTTAAGTAGTCCTAGCATACACTTAATTGAACTGTCTTCTCTTTTCGTTTCCTCTTTCCCCTTTAAATTTTATTTTTACTTTTGAGACTGAGACTCCAGGTGGTCGCAGGATACATTAAATTTAACTGTAATATCTCTTCCCACTCCACCCCCTCCGCCTTTAAAATTTTATCTTTATTTTGGATCCGGGTGCTTCAGTTCCTTTGTGTCCTTGGTGTTGTTTGCTTGGAGGGAGGGGTGACTTTCCTAGGTTCAAGGAGACTGCTTCTCCTTTATTGCCAGGATGACAGTGATGGTTATAATATGCCTTCTTCCGTTTTTATGAGACTGCTGAGTGGAGGGTCAGCAGCGACCCAGTTGGGTCTGCAGTTGATTGGGATGAAACTCATCCCTGTGGGTGTGGAGTATCCACGAGGCTTCCTGTCGCCTGCTGCATGTGATTTGTAGCTGGTTTGCTAAGGTGTTTTGTGTTCTATTTTTCTCCTTAGTCGTACCTTTTGTTTAGGATGAAGACTCCTATGCTGTCTGTAGACTTTGTGTATTCAGGGGCTGAGAAAAAGACACCTTCTGCTTCTTCGAGGTGCCATTTTTATTCTTAAAATGAGTAAAAAAATCACGGATTTAGGGCAGGTAGTCTTAATATATCTGTCCCTGATTTAGGGCACATAGTGTTAATATATTGAATATAGCAGTAAAAGAATTAATTTTATTCGTGAGAATTTTACATAAGGATCTTGTTCATGAGATTAAAAGTTGCAAATTATTTTTATACTCTAAAAGGAAAAAATCTGGTTTTGCCAAGTGAAGTTCTTCACAATCATCATCCTTGAGATTTCACTGTTTTGTTCAGTTTGGGATGAAATGTAAATTAGTTACTGTTAGAGGGATTAGTTTTCAAGACCTTTGAAAGTGAAATGTGGTGTTCTTGGTAAACTAAACTTTCTACTTCCTGTAGTAAAATACCATGCACACACAGGTTGCATTGTGCAGAGCTTTTCTGAAGTGACTGATTAACACCTACTGCAGGGGTATTTTTGATAAGAAGAGTTGAGCAGTATTTTAAAGCATTTGATACTTTAGAACTTTTTCTGTGATAGAGAATTTGAACTTTTGTTCTCTCCAAGTCTGTAAGATTAATTTGGCTGTTTTGTAAAGGCGGAATCAATTAAACCTGGATCAGTTTGGTTTCTTAGAGATACACAGTACACTGTTACCATTCTGAGAAAGTAGTTAGGTAGCTTTCAAGGCTATGTAATTGTGGTTTCATTTTATGTGCTTCTTATTTTGAGGAACTTTCTTTTATCATTTCATTTGAACTCATTATGACTTAAGTTGTGTAACATAGAGAGGTTCTTTGATATTTCTGTAGATGTATGTTCTTTTGTTGATGCATTTGTTTGTGGAATGGCTTAGTTTATTACTGTAATCTTTACCTGTTGGGACTAGATTTTTGTAAATGTATCTGAGGAATTTTAGTCATAATATGTAATGTAAACTTTTACTTTCAATTGTGGTTTAAAAACTTTAAAGGAAAATAGTACATTATTGCCCTAGTTCCTACCACTTCACATACCCTACTTGTTGGCTACTTTAAGGAAAAATCTACTTAGGAAAAAAGGTCTCTTGATCTGAAAAATGGGAATTACTATTTGAAAGAAATACTATTTCTTCAAGAAAACTATTTGAAGGAAATGAATAGAAATTATTATTGTATTTTTATTTGTATATTTTATAATACTATTTCTTGCACACATTTTATCTTTCAGTATTAATACAGATTTCATTTTTTACATACAGAGATGATACTGCTGACTGTCATTTGCAGCACAGCTACATGAATTTGGCCTAGTTACTTAGTCTGTGTTTGAACATTAGTTTCTTTACTCTGTAAAATGGGTTTGATAGTGTCTACCTTGTAAAGGTTATTATTGTGAGTGTGATATATTGGGTTGGCCAAAAAGTCCAGTTAGTTTTTTTCCATAAAATAAAACACATTTTTCATTTTAACTTTATTGATGTGGATATTTTGTTAGCCAGCTGTCTTAAATACAGACTAATTTTTTAAAAGATTTTATTTATTTATTTTTAGAGAGAGGGCAAGAGAAGGAGAAAGAGAGGGAGAGAAACATCGATGTGTGATTGCCTCTTGTGTGCTCCCTACTTGGGAACCTGGCCTGCAACCCAGGCATGTGCCCTGACTGGGCATGGAACCAGCAGTCCTTTGGTTTGCAGTCTGGCACTCAATCTACCAAGCCCCACCAGCCATGGCAAGACTAATTTTTATGAAGAGAGAACAAGTTTGTAATAAGTATCAAAATAATAAAGGCAGATGGAAATTACCACAATCACCATTCCTTGAGATTTCACTATTTTTGTACAGTTTGGAATGATGTATATCAGTTATGTCAGTTCTCTCCCTTGAGGTATAACATTGATTGTTCTCAATTAATGCCTTGATTTGATGACTGTCAACTTCAAGTGGTCTACCTGACCATGGAGGATCATCCAGTGAGAAATCTCCACATGAAACTTTATAAACCACTTCTCTCTGATACGTTCATCAGCTGACAAAACACAATTAGCTGTGAAAAGTAGAGTATTTCTTAGTGTCATAACTAATGACTCCAATTAGAACTTGTTTAGCTACTTTGATCTGGCTTTATATTGTAGATTGGCCTGATTGATTTTACAGTGGGGGGAAACTGAGGCATAGAAGGCCTTACAAGGGGCCAGACCATGTCCTAAATTGTCTATATATAGGAAGAAGAAAGAGCCATTATGTCCCCTGACTTCCAATTCTCTCTACAGAGTTTCAGTTGTTATTGGGAAAGTAAATGAGTAAATAAAACAAAACAAAAACAGAAAAACACACTGTGTGTTGCAATCTTGATCCAACAAAGATCCTTTATCTCATTAAAAGTTGAGTGGCTACTGAGTCCCAAAGCAGGGTATAGAAATGGGATTGTTATAACAAGAAGAGTGGGGGAAATGGTAAAAAATAGTGCACTGTGTAATTAGATAGTGGCTTATATGGTAGACTCTATTATAGAATTTCAAAGAGGCAAAAAACATAAGAGTGGCACAAAAATAGGGGCACTTTGAAGTTTTTTAATCATGTGAGGCCCTGAAGAATGGTTAGACTAGCTCTGTCCAATAGAAATACAATGTGAGCCACATGTGTAATTTAAATTTTCTAGTAGTCACATTTAAAAAAGTAAAAAGAAACAAGTGAAATTTCCAGTTCTTGGCCTTCTCTGATGGGTAAATATTGTAAATTCGTTACATAAAATTTCTTGTACCTTGTACCTTGTACCTGTTCTTGTGTTTGTAATTATTTGTTGCATAAAATTTCTTGTACCATAATATATTCAAAAGTAAATACTAAAATTCCTTTATAATACAAAAAACCAAGTATCTAAATATAAATAATTGAATTAAAAAATTAAAGGTTTTTTCCTGAAAACTTGGGCCAAAAATGTGGGTGCACATTATACACAGCAAAATACAGTACATTTACTACAAGAGTGTTGGTGAAACTGTGGAGGAGCCTACAAGGTGCAGAGGAGGCAGAGCAGAAAGGCTTTTTGGAGGGGTGCATGTCTTGATGGAGGTTGGGTCTGAAATGTGTTTGGAATATGGGAATTTCCCAGGTAGACAAGTTGGGGGTGAGGAGACTGCAAAGAATAGCTTGTGCAAAGGTAATGGTTTGGCTACCATGGAGTTAAGTGTTACTGGCTTTTATCCTGTGGTGTGATTAGATGTTGGGAATCTGGTGAGTTTTTAAGCAGAGGACAGAGCCAAATACATGTCTTCCCTTGGTGAGTGGTCCAGAAGTCCCAGTCTCCCTGAGATTTGAAATAATAGATGGCAAGAGAGCAAAGTTCCCATTGTTCTGGATCGCAAACCATGAGGATGAAGACTTGCCTCAAATTGAATTCACACTCAGAGGGAGGCAGAGCAGAGAGAGCGAGAGTGAGAAGGGCCCAGTGGACCTTGTGTGAGCCAATGGGTTCAGCCATGTGCGTGCCATTTCCATCCCTGAGCTTTGCAGTTGCATAAGCCAGTAATAACACCCTGTTTTTGCTTTAGCTGGTTTGAGTTGCATTTTTCTCTCTTTCAACAGAAGAGTATAGATTAATATGCCAGGAAGAGAATGGGAAATTCCAGATCAAAGGTGGATGGGTGTTGTGTGTGTGTGCATGCTTGCATGTGTGTGTAGATATGATTTTTATACTTTTTTAAGGCCAGGGGAATTTGAGTTTATCTATGTTTTGGAAAAAGAACTAATAACAGAGGAAATGAATAAACAGTAGAAAAAATGGGGATAAAATGGAGAAAGAAATGGTCTGCAGTAGAATCAGGAACATGGGGCAGGAGATCAGGCTTGACAGAATGGGTACCTCTTCCTCTACCACCATGTGGAGAAAGCAAAAATAGTGTGCTGGGTCCTGGGGATGTGGAGGGAACTCTCAAGAGACAGGTTCTTTTTTCTCTGAAGGTAGAAGTTGTAAAGTGAACTGCTGAGCCATTTTTATCACTGGTGTAGTGATAGGAACTGATTATGTCTTGGTCACTCTTCTGCACCACGTATCTCCTTAAACTAAATATTGTAATCTGTAAGATACTCTGTTCTTTTGGGGAGTGATCTCATAAATGCATTTAATTTATATTTGA